ACTTCACAAAACCTGGGAAGATATTCAACAAATGAAAAAGTTCCAGCTAATCAGTGCCAATGTTTGAAATGATGGAATACTGTAAAAGTTTCAATCAATTTTTATCATCATACATGAATTTACAAACCCCAAACTTTTCAAGTTCAAGTTTTCTGTTCAATTTTTCTATTTTGTCAACCTTTTCCTTGAGTTGCCTCCCCTGTTCATATAAGTTTTACTGGAGTTGTTCTATGTAGGACTGGGGTCAGTGGCTGCTGTATCACTCTCTGCTTCACTGTAATATAAGCATTGTAAAGCATCACTTATCTCTTCGACCACACAAACAATAAATATATCTCTGGAATTACAAATATACATCAAGGAATAGAGGCTAACATCATTTCATATTTTAGACAGTATGGGCAATCAATATTTTTATATGTAAATAACATAGCATATAGGTCAAAGTTCAGTTGTATTAAATTCTTTAAAACCATGTCAGTTGGCAAAATTAACTTAATACGATCTGACATTCTTACTGTGGTAGATTCCTTATGGGAGGTTCCTGAGCTGGTGACATGCTCTCTGACTCTTAATTAGCAGCATCTGAAATGTATATTTAAACACTAAATATATTTCAGTTGGTGTAATTAGATTGTCCAGTAATATGTCCTGTATCCCTGAAGTACTGGTCAGTATGCAGTAATTTTGAAAGTAGATACATATTTAAGATTATTTTAACAGCATGTGTATGTCCGGCATATACAAATGTATATGTACTTGAAATGTTACTTTGATTTGCAGCCAATCTAATTTCACGGATACAGAATATTTGCAAAACAAATTCCCTTGCCATCATGACAAGAGTGTCTGCACATGTCCATATGCTTAATTTTTTAAAATATATCGGACCGTTCATAATTTATGACTAGGGGGTGATGATGATTTTAGGTGCGGTGTTTGTGGGGGTTGGGGTGTCTTCCAGTTTGTTTTGGGAGGCAGGGGGAGGAGTCAATTGTGTACATATGAACTAGGGGGGCTCACTAATTTTGAACATGACAATGTTTGTGTGGGGTGGGGGTGGGGTTTGAATGTGTCTGTGTGTGTGTGACATTCACATTGTACATGTGCCCCTGATTTTAAAACCTTGCATAGTGAACAGTTTGTACATTTCACGGCAGATCTAGACTATGCCATGTGCCGTAATTATTTTGTACTTACTATGAATCATTTTCCAGGATCTCTCCGTAGTTTCGTCAACCACTGCCTTCTTCTGATCTTATTCTTGGGAATATGGTGAAAAGATACCGTAAAATCCTTACGGGCATCACTCCAACGCAAAGGCACACAGCAGTAATCTTTCCTTTTCGAGGTCGCCATTTTCAAGGTTGGGTCAACCTATTTAAGCCACGCTTTCGATTTGACCTCGAGGTCATGCATATTGGCTAAGAATGGTCTATTTAAGTTGCTGTTGCATTACTTGAATAATACGATAAAAATAACTTTCATATTTGTCAACAGTAGGATTAGACATACAGCAGCAATACTGTTTTACTGTTATTTTCCTTGATATATAAATGTAGGTTTTATCTATCATCTCAGAGTCCTAGCAGTAAAGGCTTTTTGGTTGATTCGTGTCAAAGGAATGACAGTATTATGATCGCGCAAAGACATCAAAGAAACATGCGCACAACACAAAGTTTTGATAAGGGCTTTTTTTATTACTTGGTTTAAGGATCCGTCGATCCGAAATGTGAAGAAAGTTGAAAAACAACATTTGTTTTACATATTTTTTTGCCATTATGTGCCACCCCCGACCTGAAAAAAAGACAAAGAATGTGAAGAAAAAAAATGAAAAAATAGCAAATTATACCTTTAAAATATTCCCTGAAACTATTTTATATTTTACTAAAGACAATCAAACAAATCACCAAAACCCATACCACCACGATAATCTCAAGTGTGCAAATAACATCTCCATATTCCCCTTTCTTTCTTTTTTTCCCTCCCTACCGACCTAATAATTATTTTTTTTAAATCCATAAACCAAGTAATTAAAAAAAGGCCAAAGTTTCATTGCAAAATAATATCGATTCTACAACACGGAGTCCATAAAATTTCACATAGTTATGCTGAAAGATTGCAATAGGACAGTTCCATCTAGCAAGGAGGTGACGATATGATTATAATCTCCCCAAAAGGCAAAGTCACTTTAATAGTAGGACCAGAAATTATTGAGAATTTTAGGAATATGTTTAATTGGAATTCTAGTATATACAACCTTGACCAGCTATCAAGTGTTTTGTTTCATTCAAGAGAGAATACTCCGTTAAACCTTTTTCATTAGTTTGTGAAGAGTTATCCCCCTTTGTTTACTTGCTAGCATACAACATTTTCAGTGATCCTCAGTATGGATGATTTAGAGAAAAGAAGTTGATTTTAGGGTATTATAACAAGGACATCAGATCAGCTAAGATGATTTCAAGTAGAACAGGCATCCCTTTGTCCACTGTTTATCGTGTTTTGAAAAATATTGCAAATGGATATGGCATTGAGCATGCACTGGGAGGCGCAGGTGGGCCCAGAAAATTGACTGTCGGTGACAGGAGGTGGCTTGGTATTCTCGTTTCTAAAAACAAACGAAGGAGTTTAGAAAACGTAAGGCTGGATATGATTGATAGAGGAACTGTGGCTGTCTGTAAGGAGACAATTAGACCTGAGCTGCATGCAATGGGTTGGCAGAAAAGTCGAGGAATTCCATCACCGACCCATACGTAGGAAGATATGACAGGAGTAACCTCTGTGGGAAGAGAATGTCACCGATCATGAACCTGAACAAAAGTAGCGAAGGTTGATCTGGTGCTTACAGCATAGAAATTTTAACTGGGACAATGTGATTTTCTCAGATGAAAGTTCTTTGTAGCTGTTTCCTAATACACTGAAATTCTGGACCAAACAAACTGAACAACCTTTGTATCAGCGCCCAAAGAATAGTCGGAAATTTAACGTGCGGGGTGGCATATCTGTGTTTTTGAAAGGAATATGAACAGTGAGCAGTACACAGATATTCTCGAGGGACATTTACGTCCATCTGCTCACGTGTTCTATGGAAATTTTTTGATTTTCCAGCAGGACAACGACCCAAAACATCGTTCAAAGCATTCACAGGCCTGGTTTCGGACCCAAAATATGACATTAGATTGGTCAAGCTATAGACCTGACCTAAATCCAATAGAAAATGTTTGGGGACTTATAAAGGAAAGTGTCAATAAGAAAAATCTGACAAATATTGCTGAAATGAAAGAAGAGGTGGTCCGATATTAGGACAGCATGGACCACGACTTTCTAACTTCTTTGATCAGTAGTATGCCCCGCCGCATTGAAGCCTGCATTGCTGCCCATGGTGACTTGACAAAATACTAACTGTTCAACTGTCTTTGAATCTGGAGTTATGTTCTGCTTACATTCACATTTAATACGTGAGTAATGAGTGAAAAATATATATAAAATTACAATCTTAAATTCTCAATAATTTCTGGTTGTACTGTATAATTTAAAATATAGGGAATTGATAGTACAAAACAGGTTATGGTTATGTGTGGTGTGATCACAATGTTTAGTCCCATGCTAGTTTCATCATATCATTTACACAAAGAATGAAAGATATATATTTTCAATCTTGGTCGGAATCATTACTTCTATCAACAAATTGTTGATATTATAATCAGTGGAAATCGGATATACGTTTGGAAGTCTTTTGAGCAAAAATCGACGTAAACAAAGTTTCGTATAGCTCTCTCTCGGTTTCGTTGCTCTTCCCACGAAGTATTTATTGAAACTGGCAGGCATACAAAGAGAAAACAGATATGTCAATTGTGTAATATGAATACTGTTGAGGATGAATTACATTTCCTTCTAATCCGTCCAGTTTATATACGACTCTACGAACGAAATACCTAAATCCATACTATTATAAGCATCCACGTGTAAGAAAATTAATTTCATTGTTAACAGATACCACCATTATTATTACAGAATCTGGCAATGTATATCTATTTCGCTATGAGTTTAAGAAAAAGGATTGTTATAGAAAAGAATTTGTAAATGACCTCTAACTACTCATGTAAACTTTATAGACCATTCTTAGCCAATATGCATGACCTCGAGGTCAAATCGAAAGCGTGGCTTAAATAGGTTGACCCAACCTTGAAAATGGCGACCTCGAAAAGGAAAGATTACTGCTTTGTGCCTTTGCGTTGGAGTGATGCCCGTAAGGATTTTACGGTATCTTTTCACCATATTCCAAAGAATAAGATCAGAAGAAGGCAGTGGTTGACGAAAATACGGAGAGATCCTGGAAAATGATTCATAGTAAGTACAAAATAATTACGACACATGGCATAGTCTAGATCTGCCGTGTAATGTACAAACTGTTCACTTTGCAAGGTTTTAATATCAGGGGCACATGTACAATGTGAATGTCACACACACACAGACACATTCAAACCTCTGCCCCACCCCCCCACACACACATTGTCATGTTCAAAATCAGTGATCACCCCCCTAGTTCATATGTACACAATTGACCCCTCCCCCTGCCTCCCAAAACAAACTGGAAGACACCCCAACCCCCACAAACACCGCACCTAAAATCATCATCACCCCCCTAGTCATAAATTATGAACGGTCCAATATATTAAAAAGAATTAAGCATATGGACATGTGCAGACACTCTTGTCATGATGGCAAGGGAATTTGTTTTGCAAATATTCTGTATCCGTGAAATTAGATTGGCTGCAAATCAAAGTAACATTTCAAGTACATATACATTTGTATATGCCGGACATACACATGCTGTTAAAATAATCTTAAATATGTATCTACTTTCAAAATTACTGCATACTGACCAGTACTTCAGGGATACAGGACATATTACTGGACAATCTAATTACACCAACTGAAATATATTTAGTGTTTAAATATACATTTCAGATGCTGCTAATTAAGAGTCAGAGAGCATGTCACCAGCTCAGGAACCTCCCATAAGGAATCTACCACAGTCACCATCTCAGATACAGTAAGAATGTCAGATCGTATTACGTATATTTTGCCAACTGACATGGTTTTAAAGAATTTAATACAACTGAACTTTGACCTATATTCTATGTTATTTACATATAAAAATATTGATTGCCCATACTGTCTAAAATGTGAAATGATGTTAGCCTTTATTCCTTGATGTATATTTGTAATTCCAGAGATATATTTATAGATTGTGTGGTCGAAGAGATAATACTGATGCTTTACAATGCTTATATTACAGTGAAGCAGAGAGTGATACAGCAGCCACTGACCCCAGTCCAACATAGAATAACTCCAGTAAAACTTACATGAACAGGGGGGGCAACTCAAGGAAAAGGTTGACAAAATAGAAAAATTGAACAGAAAACTTGAACTTGAAAAGTTTGGAGTTTGTAAATTCATGTATGATGATAAAAATTGATTGAAAATTTTACAGTATTCCATCATTTCAAACATTGGCACTGATTAGCTTGAACTTTTTCATTTGTTGAATATCTTTCCAGGTTTTGTGAAGTACCTTGCCCAAACAGCACAAAAATTGACAGACATGAATGTAAATGAAATTGTTTGGTGCTTTTGTGTTGTGTAAATGATGGATGAAAAAAGAGACAGCTGTAATACATACACATTGATGGATTTAACTGAATAATAAAAAGGTTTTTCATAATGGCATAGTTGTAAATGTAACTCATTTGCTGCTGTTTAATTAATAATTGATGAAAAAGAATGTATTTCATCCTGTTTGAAAAGAGTTAGTTGGGAATCAGAAAAAAAACATCATTCATAGGTAAGAGATTATGATAATGTGTAAGGGGAGAAAACTATGATAAATTATGCATTGATCCAGCTGTAATTGTTGCCATTTATGTCAGACTAATCTAAAAGGATACTTCTATCAACATAAATATTGCACCCAATATATTTTCAATTTGCATCCTCTGAAAATTTTATTGTTATTCATCAGTATTACAGTTGGAAGCTATTGTGAATGTGTCTATTGTTATTGGACTTTTAAGACACCATTTCAAAATAAATTATTATTAACTGCACTCCAGGTGTTCGTTATTTATTTGGGTTAATTGTTTGCTGTAGTGTGAATCCTGTTATGTTAACAGGAAATTGGTTCAAATATTCCCCATGCAGGTACCACTTGTCCATTTAGGTAAAATAATTATTCACCTCCAAATCAGTCAAGAAAAAACTTGAAAAAAATCATCCAGTTTTGTCTTGCACATTGTGTCCCACTCATGTTGATTGAAATAAATAGTTTCTACATGATGATGTGGCGATTCGTTTTTCCTCTGCGATTGTAACATGCAGCTACGCGCACATCGCCATCACCACTAGTCCTGTACAACTGTAAATAAATGCGTGAATAAATACCCAATATCTATAAAACAGAGTCGATAGGACAAAACATTTTAAACAGAAAAAATACCAAACAAATAATTTCATCACATGAATAATACAAACAAATTTGTTTGGTCCAGATCCACTCGAGGAGAGCTATCTTGATCTACATATATTACTTATAATTTCGATTATCCAGCTCAAGAATTAACAACACTACTCCCATGTGGAAGTGGATGATTTGAATCCAGGTCAGGAAATACGTTGAGTCTTTTGCTTTGTTCATATGTTGATAAAGTAAACGTAATTGACTTCCCTTGGTAATATTTCCACTATTGTGACTTTAGAGTAGCTTCCCTTCATAAATGCTGCGCAACACGGTAAACGTTACCTAGACATCTAGGTCATATGACTTATCGTGATGTGTCGTGGTGTACAGTAATTATTCACCCTTCAATCCGTGGATATGCTACAGAAACATTTGTGTAGCCCTTTTCCATTTCTCTGCGATTTCCCTGAACTACTGGACAGTTTCGTAATGTACCGTTCAAGGGAAATTTGAAACCAGGAAGTAAACATTGAGATTTGTCGCCATTATGCGATTGTGTCCTTGCCCCATTTAGCCTCGTTTTGGTACAGATATGAATATTCATGAGGCCTCATTAAGAATGGTCAATATGTACTACAGGTCTGTGGCCTTTTTTAAGTACTGAATAAAGATTGGCGGCGATAGTCTGTAAATTTCACTGGAATTTAGCCATATATTTTTTTCATTTCATGTCCGTTACAATTAAGTCTCATTCATTTTTGTACACTACAAAAAAGTGCAATCGTTAGTTCCTCAATCAAAATGTGTATAGTAATATTTCATAGTACCCTGGTTGGAGCCGAGCATGACATGCACCAACTCTCTTTTCCACTAACTGATGACAGATGATCTTCAATTAAGAACTGCTTAAAGGCAGTTATGTTAAAATGTTAAAAAGTATTCTGCGTAACTTTCAATGTCATGTTTTGGGAAGCAATTATTGCATTGTGAAGGCTTAAAACGTGTTATGCTCGCACTAAGGGACCCCCATAATTTATGGCTGGGGTGGGGGTGGGGAGAGAGAATGATGATTTCAAGGGGGTCACCAATTTTGTTCTGTGGAGCTAGGGGTCAGCAATTTTGTACATAAAAATGTGTAAAATTATGCTTAGAAACTATGGGAAGGGGAAGGGGGTCATTGACTTTGTGAATGACGTGCAGGGGGGTCACTTATTTTGTACATACATTTTAGGGGGGTTGGGGGTGTCATTCACATTGTACATGCTTCTCCACAAAAATCATCATCACACCCCCTAGCCATTAATTATGAACGGTCCCTAACTCGTACTCTGAGCCCAAACTGAAGAATGTAAAAATTATTCCCTCTGTTCCGGTTGGACTACGTGAGGATTCGGGTGGCGGTTCAACAGTGAGAAATACCTTGACACAGTTTCAATTGATTAATGGATGCAGTATACTGACAGGCGACCAGTAGTTGTGGGTAATGTCTAAAACACCAGTCAGGGAAACGACTAAATTTACCAAGTCTTTCTGTATAACTCGATTTGGGGTCGGACCACAAAAGTCGCATCCACAGGACTACTTACGGATGTTCAATACAACTAAATGTTCTAAAAAAATACACGATAGACAGAAACATGTCACTTCGGCTTCTCTATAATAGCTACAGAATTCCGATCTCCGTGCCCATACTTTCAGCAGTGAATCGTGCACAGATCTTGCAGCTGTTCAGCTCAGTGCCGTTTTGACCCCGTACCGCTATCGCGCGAGTGCTATCAACGGGAGATAATTCTGCACTCAGAGAGAAGTTCGATGTGCAAAGCCTCGAACTTTTCATTATTTTGCAAAGAAATCCATTAACGGTATGTGGTTCTGTCTTCGCGTTCGTATTGTTACTGAAAACTAGCTATTGATGTACACGGGATTTACATCGAGACAGACTCAGTAAATGATTTATTCGATGACGGATAAAGATAGGCCTGTCAGCCATGTTTGTTAGATCACGCTTTCATAGAGCGATGTGCGACAGCATGTCTTATTTTAAATAGGAAAGATTTCCTCCCGTAACCCCCGTTTTTTTAAAAATAATTCTATGCCTTGCCCCAACCCAGTTTACACTTTGACATTTGAAGCGGGCGTTAAGGGCAAATACCAAATACAGTCTGTGATGCCCATTTCTTGTTTCCCTTGCCATGATTTTGCTGGAATATTGCTAAAAGTAACGTAAAAGTACTAAAACCCAACTCAGTCATGCACTAATTATATCTAAAAAATCCCAGCTACTCTACCCCCAATTACCAGCCCCTATATAATTAGTTGTCTTCTGTTCTTTCAGGTGCTAGTGAGCACCAAGATCACACATTTATTCAAGGTCCTAGTATCAGTTTGGGAAGGAGAAGGTGGACAAAATGAGCTCCAACCTTTGGGATGATGCTGAAGACAACCAATCACAGTTCTCAAGGTCAGACAGGTATTCTAGGTCAAGGTTTCAGCATGACAGCAGGGGGACAGGATATTTTGACAGGACGAGCCAACAGACAAGTGGCAAAATGTGGGGTGATGCTGACCAAAACCCATCACAGTTCTCCCCTGGCAGCAGAACAATGTCTGACAGAATGCACGGATACGGACGAGGATCAAACTATGATTTCCAGCAGGAGTCTTGGACAGATACTACTTCACACACTAGGGGTGGTCTCAGGCCTTCCTTCAGAGATGAGTCATTTGAGAAGGAGCAACGTATAGATTACTTTGGTACCCAAAGCAGAGGCCCAACAGGCATGGAAAGTGAGATAACTTGGACAAGGGGGAATTCCAGGAGTGGCCTGGAGATGGACAGGTTGACCAATACATCAATGGACACAGTCAGCAGATTTGGCATGGAATTAACAGGTCAAACTTCAACTCCTAATGTTGAAAAAGATCTAAGCAGATTCTTAAGCAAACGTAGTAACACATCAAATCCAATGGAAATTGGGAGTAAGAGATTGGATACCTTTGAAGGCGGCAGAAAACCTACAAACCCGAGTGAGCCTGAATTTAACAGTAACAGAACTAGAGGTCCTTATTATCAGCCCAGAAATGAAACCAGAACTGAATGGTCTCATGAAAGTCATAGAGGTCAGTCTGCAGAACCGTTTAGGGAATCTGAACACTTCAAATCTGAGATGTCGAGACGTACTCCAGCTTTACAAGGAATGCAACAGGGTCGGGACAGTTCTGTACTTGATACAGGAGTAATGCAGGAGTTAAGAATGAGAATGGCTGCCGAGAGGCAGCATCATGGAGAAAATGCAGTGGACATGAACAAGGTCATGAAAGTCATGAAAATTGTGGACCAGTTTTCTGAAGAACATAGGCAAGATCTGTCTCAGTCGATAAGTGCAATAACAAGAGGCTCTTATGGAAAGGAAGCACCTGGTCCTCCTCAAGAATCACGAGGTTTGAAAAGAGGTGGCAGCATGCATGGCTTCAGAGACGATAGCAGCTTCAAGAGAGGAAGGATGGAAGGCTTTACAGACAGACCTAGACCCAGCAGCTATCAGCAAACTGAAACACTGAGAAGACCGCAGTCCAGTATTCAACCTAGACCCAGCAGCTATCGGCAAACTGAAACACTGAGAAGACCGCATTCCGGTACTCAACCTAGACCCAGCAGCTATCAGCAAACAGAAACTCCAAGAAGACCGCAGTCCGGTATTCAACCTAGACCCAGCAGCTATCACCGAACTGAAACACCGAGAAGACCGCAGTCCAGTTTTCAGCCAAAAGAAAAACCAGTCCCTTTACTGAGTTTGGACTTAGGTATTCCAGATCAGGGTAAGTCTCTTCCGACCAGTGGAACAGCTGGTCAAGTGAAACATTTCTTCTTTTAATTTGGCCCAAGACCCTTCCTAGTACCTTAAGTCTATGCTATACAGGCCAAAGTTCAGAATTGGAAGTGAAAGACAAGTCGTCTTGATCATAACACTAAAGTTTAAGATTTTGATGATTCCTTGTTCAAATAGCATAGACGGCCTCAAGGACATTGGGTCCCTTGGTTTTGTACACTGCATTCTGAAGTACCACCTGGTTGCATAAGCTAATTGTTGAGCATGATATCATGACATCAACATATTCAGTTATGACTTAAAAAGGGTAGAGTTGGTACTGTGCATGTGAGACGGGTGTCAATGTAAAAAGTGTTAATGGTATGACAGTGGGCAACACTATAAAGCTGGTGTTAGTGTGGACTAGTAATAGTAAGTTGACACAAGTGCATCCCTTGAACATGTGCTGGGGTGGGGTGGCCAAGTGGTTAAAGCTTTGGCTCGTCAGGCCGAAGCCCTGGGTTTCGATTTCCCACATTGGTACAGTGTGTGAAGTCCATTTCTGGTGTCCCCTGCCGTGATGTTGCTGGAGTATTGCTAAAAGCGGCGTAAAACTAAACTCACTCACTTAAACATATTCTCACTGTACTATTGATTGAACACAAATGTTTACATTACAGGTTCACCATCGGCGCCTCAAATATTTGAGTCGAAGCTGACGAGACTTATTGCTGATATCAGGAACTACAGGGAAACTGAAGACCATGTAAATGACATTCACACTCTAGACATTTTCATGTCTAAGTGTAAATTGAAGAGTGATTACAAACAGGATTCGCTAGGGAGAATAGGGAAAAAACTCGTATTTACTGGAAGCTTACAGATTAATAATGTCTTCCTTGCCAGGAGTGCGGGTATATCAAAGAAGGAAGTGAAACATGCATGTTATGAGAAAGCCATAGCAGTCCTAATGACTAATCCAGTGTCTGAAATATTGAAATTTGAGGATGAGGGGGTGGAGAAATTGAGGATGAAATTGCTTGCTGACGAAGAGGAGAAAAAGGCTAAAGAAGTGGTTGTTGCAGCTGCAGCAGCCCCACCTCCTCTCACATTTCGTGAAAAATTGGAGAAGTTGATCGATTCTCTGAACAGTTTTGAGAAAAGAGCTGAGACACCAATAATCCAATTAAATAATGCAAATGTATCTACAAGCCTTATCTTTCATCGGGAATACAAGGAAGAAACAATTCATCTTTGGGGGACTTTCTGTCTTGTCAAAGGACTTCTTATGCTTGACGGACATCTGATTGCTACAGCAGTTGGGAGAGCATGTAAACGAGTCAAATACAAAACATACGCCAAAGGAGTTGAATTTCTCAGGAACAGTCCAATGTCTGTTGTTCTGGAGGGTGTCCCAGCTGATGATGACTATACCAACCTCTCGGCACATGACGTTCTGTCACACCGACATGTCAGTCTTCCAGACCATCAGACGGAGCAGAAGATGGGCAGAATGATCAGTGAGGTGAAGAATATTGTAGCCTCCAAACAGCCCCCAAGCAACACACTCCAGATTACTTGCAAAAATAACCATCTCCTCCTGACTTGCCTTTTCAAAAAAAGAACAAGAGGCGCGCTGAGCAGTTTACTGAATGTGATCTTTACATTGACTGCATCTACATCTGCAGTGGTGAAGGCTACAAATATGCTGATGCAGTGAAGCGGGCCAATGAGGAAGCAGTAAGAGTGCTTTGCAACAGTTCATCTGACCTCATCTTCAACGACTTCAAACAGATAACAACTCAAGATGTGCACAATGTGGCAGAAGTTTGTGAATTTTGGGAAGGGAAGAAGACAAAGACATTTTTCTGGTCAAACTGTGCGAAAATTCAGCTATTGAAGAGAAAAATACTGTATAAGTCAGATCCCGAGTTTGTAAGGGATTGGGAACGCATGCCTGTCATGGAACAGGACATGTTTTCATCAGATAGGTTGAACAAGGCATATGAAATACTTCTGCACACTGCAACCAAAAGCTTTGTAACAATGTTTGGAAAGGGCACAACTGAAGGCAATGTTCTGAAGTAAGTAGACCGTGTTGTGAAATCATGATAATACAGTGAAACCAAGCATTGTTTCAGCAGTTAAAGCAAAGCTGGAACTGTCAGCAATTTTTAAAAAAAATCTTTTGGGACAAAATATTTACTAGGTGCATGACCCTTTGACTCATGGTAACCCTCATCCTCTGGTACTGCTAAACTGATGAGGCTGAAATTTGACATGTATCCGATGTTGGGTCTTTCTTACAGAGACACCTTATCTTGTTCAAATCAAAGTGAATTGATTATATGTCATTGGTGTTAAAAGTATGTAATAACTCAAATAATATATTGTGATACATGGTTCAGAATCTTATTCTTTCAAACTACTAGGCTTACACTTTGTGTCAATATCATGATCTTTTGAAGATGGCATCAATAATAGTCCTCAGTACAGATGTTCTTGACATTTTGCAAACATACTGTCTTGATCTCTTTGGGCAAATGTTTCTTAAACGCCGCCAGAAAAGGTTGACATGGTTGAAGTGTCATCAATTTATTACCTCACATGTGAGGCCAGCTTCAGCACATTGTGGCTTTATTTCTGTATATTTATAAGATACAGTAGGAAATAATTTAGAAAGCGTAGCAGATACGCACCATAGCAATGGTGTACGGTCTTAGAATCATTTACAGACATATTTATCTTAAAAAGTATTGTTTTATTGTTTATTGACCTGTTTACACAAGAGTAGCAATGTTGTGGTGCATGAAATGAAACACAAGATTACTGATATGCCATTAATTTCCATTCAGTACTCTAAATGTACTCTTAAGGTTTTCCAGTACTCCTACATTGGATAAATAAGGAGTACGTACTCCTGATCATGAAAAATTATCTGGAGCCCAGTTATCTACCAAAAACTTGGATTCCGAACCAAAAATATTTTTGGAACATACCTATAGACAAATTTGGATGCATCTATCAAACCCATGAAGATATGGGTTAGAATTGGTTGTCAGGTTGTTTTAAGAGGCATTTCATAGGAGGTGAAGAATGTAGATGCTTATGATGTCACTGCCACTACCTCCCCTTTAAGCTTCTTTCACTCACCAAGCTGACTATCTGCTGAATTTGTTTTAGGTGTGAGTTGTTCCTGCAAGGTGAGAAGCTGGCAGAGGCCACTGGGAAGAGCAATCTTGAAGCCTCAGCAAAGGCAGCTGCCAAAATCCTCTTCAAGTTGTACCAGCATCAACCCGTGATCAAGGTATACAGAATTTAGATGTCCAACAAAGTATATGGATGAACGTCACTTTTCATCCTGTTATGAAATTTTAAGAGAATATATTTTGTTGTCTGTAATCCCATATTCTATGCCTTTCACCTCACTTGTCTTTAATTTCACCTCAGCTTTTGTCCCCATCTTGGCATTTGAAGTCTGTTAAGTCTGTTAGACTACACTATGGATAAACAAAATATTCTTGACTAGTTTCTCTCCTGCAAAAATGCTGTGAAAAATATTTGAATGGATCACTGAAAAGGCAAAACCCGTGAAGATCCGGGTTAGAATTCATCTTCAGTACCCCATGCTTGTCGTAAGAGGCGACTAACGGGATCGGATGGTCAGGCTCGCTGGCTTGGTTGACACATGTCATCAGTTCCCAATTGCGCAGATCGGTGCTCATCTTGTTGATCAGTGGATTGTCTGGTCCAGACTCAATTATTTACCGACTGCCGCCTTATACAGGGGTGGAAATAACTTTAAAATTGTTAGTGTACTCCGGTACAGTGGCACATGTAAAATCACTTGCCCTGATAATTTTTCCACTATACCGGCCGTTTTCTTGTTGATTTTTAAAATAAACAACATAATTAGCGTTGGAAAGTCAGCTGGACACCGGTACAGTGTGATATACAAATTTGTTTGCCCAACAGAAAAAATCCTTGGACTCGGACGTCGGGCAATGGGTTATTTCCACCCCTGATATAGCTGGAATATTGCTGAGTGTGGCGTAAAACTGAACTCACTCACTCACTTACTTACTCACCTACCCAGCCTACCGCTAATGACAGTATGAATTGCTAAGGTGCACTAAAAATTGCCTAATTTCTGTAAATTGAAGACAATACTAACATTCATATGTACCCAATTTTGGACAATATTATGATAAATTGTTCCTTATCCTGACTCATGTATTATTGCTTGTCTCCTTCCTTTTGCGAACGTTAGTGGAACACTTGTATCTCCTTTTTGAAGCTCCCTTTCAAAAGAGCAGACGTAAAATCACTACTCACCATGAGTTATGTCCCTCTGGTTTTGGCGGGAAAACAGCGCCACCTGTCTTCCCACGCTTCACTCTCTCCTTCTTCGCCCTAGTGGACGGTTGGGAGAGTGCCTGTGTCTCCAATACGGCACTATATCCTTTGATTAATTAGTTATTTCCCTATAAGATACCTTTATAAGGCTTTAGGGAGTATCCTTCTACAACATGGTTTGAAATTTATTTGTAATTTGACTGTTTATTCACGTTTTTTACGTGATTGTTCAGTTGTTTACATTTCATGAAAACCTGTTTTCGTTGTAGGTTTAGGTTATCTGCTGCAGACCTGCATTTACTGTGCCCCAGCTGCACAACAATATGCACTTCCAGCTCTCGCTGTAACTTATGTCAGCAATTAACACAAATTCAATTTAATAATTATTATTTCTCTGTACTTAGGCGTGCTAAGGATAAATCCCGTCGACTTTTACAAGTCATGGATAAACCGGCTGAGTCCCTCAAGAGCTGTCCATTGTTGTCCGACGACATACTTCCATCCAGTGACCTGCCGGAGGCGTCCTCTGAAGATGGGCGTGGGATGTTGTCCGCCATTACATCGAAGAAAAGGTCTTCTACTTCGGACAATTCCTCAACCCAGACGAAGAAGAAGAGGCCATCTTCAATGCAGAAAAAGCCTCACACCCCTAAGACTTCAAGCAGTTCTACGGGGAGTTCTTCGCAGATTACGAGGACCTTTGCGGCCGAAATCGTCCCGATGGAAGAGAGAGGACTTTATGATGAACCGCTGCTGATCATCCCAGAGATGCATCATAAGAAAAGGAAGCAGGCCTCAGCAACGGTAACGTGAGCAGCACTATCTACGGAGTCCGAGTCTACACTGACAGCAGAGATCCATGAGGCACAGAGATCCCTGGACCATATCGCTACCATCTCAGATACGACATCTCTACAATCGTCGCAGGCATTCAACCCTGGGGCCTTCATGCAGCAATTGTCTCAACAGATGATGGAGATGATGGAGAAGCGCTTCGCGCAGGAAAGAGCCTCACATGATGGACAGCCAGGCGGCTCTCATGCTCAAGTCATCAACCTCAGAGAGGATCCAGACCTGCACGAACGACCCTACACTGATGATATATCTGAGAGGCCCACCAGACAATCTAGCTCCAAGACTAAGAGCAGATCTACGCTACATGACATCAGCAAACCTGCGCACAGGACGGCACGCTCTTCAGAACCAATGAGATCGTCATCAGATGATGAGGCTAATAAAGAACCTTCACGCAGGCTACCCACTTCACAGAGAAGGAAACCTACACCACCTAGAAGGTCGAGAGAGACGTCTCGGGACTCAGACCCTCAACAGAATCTCTCACCTGCGCGAAGGTCATCTGTAATATCGTCAACAGCGTCAACAAGATCGTCAGGAAGGCAATCCAGGACTAAAAAAAGACGCTCACCTACACGCAGGTCGCCTTACAGATCGCCTCCTAGAACTACACGTAGTTCAACATGCTCATCCCCACGCAGATCTCCACGCAGATCCCCAACAAAGGATGGTCAACGATCTTATAGTGAACATGATACAGAGGACGATGGCGGGATCATATTTTCGGACTCAGAGATAAAATATTGGATGGCTAATGGACTGGACCTAGCGTCACCCTCTAAGGAAGAGAATGAAGCACTCACGTACCTAATGAAGGACGATGATGACACAATCACTCTACCTCCAATTGATCCCATCTCGGAAGTACCAGAGGATTTAGATGCAGCCTTCAGGAAGGCAACGAAGTTCCAGGCTCCTAATATCCCACAGTTCAACGCAAAGAAGTTCTCACTACACAACATGGACCCCTTGATGAAGGCGCAAGAAATAGATGAGAACTATAAAATCATCAACGACTCCCGGACCAAATCTTACAAGATTGAGGACAAAAAGCTGGCACAGATAGACACTATGACCAGAAGGATGTTCTTCGGACTTAACAGATCCAGGGCAGTTAATGAGGCGCTCGTCACCAACTCTACTGCAGAGGAAGACCGGATGATTTATTCTGCCCTACTAACGCAGAAAAAGGACCACCAATTTATGTCGGAGCATCTATCATCCATATCAGCAGCGTTGACGCTAGCTAGAAGACAAGGACTATTGTCGCCATGCAACTGGAGCGAACGCTTCACTAAGACGCTGTACAAAGCTCCATGGTCTAAAACATCCATCTTCGCAGGGGAGATTGACGAGGTCGCCAAGGAAGTCACGAAGGAATCTAGGGAGGTCTTGATGATCAAGTCCATTGATACACTAGCCAGTGTCATAAGGCAGACGTCCCAACGCTACTCGGGCAAATCCAAATTTGCAGGCATCCAGAAAGCAAGAGAAAAGAAAATGGGGACTTCCAAAGGAGGAAAGGACTCTTTTCGTTGCCCAGCCGGCGACTATAGAGGACGATCCGGACGAGGCAGGGCACCCAGAGGCTATAGACGATGAAAGACGGGTTCGGAACGACTGGAGTCTTCCACCCCCAGCCGTTCCTGTTCAACCTTCCCGAGTGGGTGGACGTCTACAACACTACTGGGAGAACTGGGGAATTCTTCAAGATCCTTTTGTATCCAACATCCTAAGAGACGGATATCACATACAACTACAAGCAACCCCTCCACTAACAAACGCACCACAGAGGTTCAACTTTGCAACCCATCGGACAGAGAGGCTACAAGAAGCGGTCACATCTCTACTAGAGAAGGACGCCATAGAAGTGATAAACCAGGACCAGATCTCACCAGGATTCTACTCCCCAGTTTTCCTCGTACCAAAGAAAAACTCCAAAGAAAAGTTCCGACTCATCTACAACATGAGGACATTCAACAGAGATTATCTATGCAAACCACAAAAGTTCAGCATGATTCATCTACCACAACTACTACATCTCGTCCGTGCGTTGGACCACATGGCCAGCATAGATCTACAGGACGCATACCTGCATATTCCTATACATCCGGAATCAAGGAAGTACCTGAGATTCGTACTAGACGGACGACACTACCAATGGAAAGTCCTGCGAATTGGAATATCATCGGCCCCCTGGTTGTTTACAAGAGTGACGAAGCCCTTAGTCACATACCTACATCATCGAGGTCTACGCAGTGCGTTTTACCTAGACGACGGGATTCAAGCTCATCAAGATCCCAATCATCTCAGACTACAGCTGGACTTCACCATCAGGCTTCTCACACAACTAGGATGGCTAGTGAATCTCCTCAAGTCGGAACTAGAGCCTACACAGGACCTGCAGTTCCTAGGAATTCGGCTCATCACAACAGAAAACCGCATAGCAGTACCAGAGGACCGTTGGCTAAGATACAACAGATGGTATCGCAAGCTCTACTCTCTCCGTGGCCAATACGACAGTGGCAGAGCCTGTTGGGTCTCCTCACATCAGCACAGGATATGACGCGCAGAGGGAGATTACAACTACACCCACTACAGGTCTTCGTGAATGTACATCTGGACGATCCGGACCCCTTCGGACAGACTAAAACCATATCTACTATGGTGGACTCAGAGATCGAATGTTTGCGGAGGCACCTACTTAGCAGAGCCGGAGTGCAAGACGCGTCTGTATGTGGACGCATCGCTCCAAGGTTGGGGAGCACACCTCGACAACGAAGTGTCAGCTGGGAAATGGACAATAGACGAGAAAGATCTGCACATCAACATGCTGGAAATGAAATCAGTGATAAACGCCATACTCCACTGGACCAGCATTTTAAAGAATGCTCATCTAACGGTACACACGGACAACTCCTTAAACAGACAAGGATCAACAAGGTCGGCGAACCTTCTGAACCTCTGCTTTCAACTGTTCAGCATAATAGACAATCTGAACATCCACATAAAAGCATGCCACATCCCAGGAGCCAAGAATGTGATAGCAGACGCACTATCTCGGCCAACTCAGCCATCCCCAACAAAATGGATGCTACATCCAGAGATCTTCAAACAGATCATACAAGAGATAGGAGCGCCACTAATAGACCTATTTGCCACAAGATTCAACAATCAACTGGTAACATTCGTCTCTCCAATACCAGATCCAAGAGCATGGGCAACAGATGCTCTAAGCTTCTCCTGGGAAGGACTAAACGCTTACGCGTTCCCACCACCAGCTCTAATACCGAAAGTGTTGCAGAAAATCATACAGACGAAGAACCTGCAACTGATTTTGGTCGCGCCTTACTGGCCAGCGAGAATATGGTTCCCCATTCTTATACAAGAACTAGGACCGCCTCAAGTGCAACTACCAGAGTGACGAACTTGCTAGTACATCCACACACAAAGCAAGCACACGGCAACCCACAGGTGTTCCGGCTACACGCGTGGAGCGCATCAAGGCGTGCTTGAAAAGGAGAGGATATTCCGCCAGAGCAGCGAAAGCAGTCATGCTAGCCTTACGCAAGTCAACACGCAACTTGTGCGACAACAAGTGGCGAAGCTTTGAGGCCTACGCCTTGAAAACCGGCTTCACAACCATAAAAGCGACACACCCTCAAGTGGCGGACTATCTTTGTCACCTAAGACAAACGAAGCGGTTGAAAGGGTCAACACTCTCAACATACCTAGCGGCATTGAGCTCAGTTATCACTATGAGGACGAGTGTAAAACTGACTAAGGTACCAGAGTTACTGGCCTTACCACGCTCTTTTAAACTGGAGGACCAACAACAGAGATTTAAAGCTCCGGCATGGGACCTCAACATAGTTCTACGGCATCTCACCAGTGACGCTTACGAACCATTAGATAGGACATCTTTTGAGTTCTTGACGCAGAAAACTCTATTCCTGATCGCCTTAGCAACAGCAGCAAGGATGTCGGAAATACATGCTCTAGACTTTGAGAGGACACGATTTGATCTAAAATCGAAACATTGTCCATATGGGACTGAGATGGGACTTTATAGCAAAGAATCAACTGCCAGGTCAACCGACAGACAATTCCACATCCAAGCACTATCATCAGTCCTTGGGCCACAGGATACACAGGACCTATCCTTATGCCCAGTAAGAGCATTGAAAGTCTACCTACAAAGGTGTAGAACCAGGAGACGAAAATTCAAGCGTCTTTTCATCCCTATATCGGCAGCGACACAGACGGAGATCTCTCGCACTACGATATCAATATGGATGAGAACTGTCATACTACGGGCCTACAAAGCAGCATGACTTGATCCTCCAAGAGCCTCCAATCCACATGAAATTAGAGCTCTGGGAAGCGCCAACACTCGCTCTACATGGGAATTGCTCTATCACGACGATAATGGAGGGCTGCTTCTGGAAATGGGACATGGTGTTTGCCAACCACTACCTGAGAGACATCGCCATCGAGGACGTCTCTGGCATTCACCATTTCGGCCCACTTGTTGTAGCACAACAATTGACAGTTCGACAAAGGCGCTGAGACGGAGTCTCGCCCTTTTATCACATGACTTGCAAAAGCTTACACTCAGGAGAGTTACAGCTTTAGAGTCCATATGCACGTCTAAGACAGACTAGCATGAGTGATAAGACCCAGTACTTGTAAGGACGTATCTCGTACATATAAAGGGTCGCTTCTCCACTGATGCTTGCATCAAGAGATGGAGTTGCAAAATCCACATAATAATGTTAACAGAAGCAAGGACCAAAAGTTAACAATTGTGGTCCAGAAGTGTCTTGTCCCACCACCAGATCCGACGGATTCTACAAGCAATAATACATGAGTCAGGATAAGGAAAAATATGTAATTTTCTGAGTAAAATTGATATTTTATACTTATCCTGACTCATGAGGTAAGCCCTCCCATCCTCCCCGCTAGGCACTCATGGTGAGTAGTGATTTTACGTCTGCTCTTTTGAAAGGGAGCTTCAAAAAGGAGATACAAGTGTTCCACTAACGTTCGCGAAAGGAAGGAGACAAGCAATAATACATGAGTCAGGATAAGTATAAAATATCAATTTTACTCAGAAAATTACATTTTTTTCTGCCAGATTGGAATCCAAAATAAACACTTGTGTTCATCAGCTTCAGTGAAGTTACCACTATTTCTTCCTTACTAAAAGCAAAAGTATTGATGAATTTTGTTTACCACTTTCCAAAAAGTATTGCCTTCGAGCAGAATTCACTTTTGGAGATGAGTTCGTTCTGATATTGTTCGAACTCGGGAATATATACTACCCATCAAAAGTTGACTCACTTAAAGCATTCACTATATGTTATGCATATACATATGGTTACATCGAAGATGGATTTCTCCACTAACTTGAGGGAACCAACTGCAAACCTTATGCAGATGAATTGCACGAGGATCATGCATCAAATTTCTGAAAAGCATGTGCAAATATCGTGCATGTGAACAGCTGCGTTTTGGTGTACAGTTTTCTTAAGAATTTGTCGATTTTCACTGAGTTTCATCATTTATCGAACTCATGACAATAATGTTTTGAAGTTACGAATTTGTTTTACAATACATCAGTTCATGTGCAAACAGTTCCTTTAAACAGTATGGAATATTTTGCAAAATCTAGTTTAGGACAGTTGACTGAAGTAAGTGGCTACATTTACACTAGTGAGTCTAAACTTTTGATGGGCAGTATATTTTCTGGTTTTGAAAATAGGACTAATGCAACATCTTGTTTCAGCTGCTCCCTGAGGGAGATGATTCCACGTCCTGGCACACCTACGAGTCAATCAAAGAAAAAGCAGATAAAATGAAGGCTGGGAGTGAGGACTCTGAGACAGATGACTTCATCTACATCAATGACTTTCCCCCAGTTCCAAAACAAAAGGTCCAGGAGGAACTCATGGAGGTGGATCAGGAGGATGTAGATAAGGATACCCCATCGTCAAGTCATTCAATGTCGAGTGTAAGGCGTACAGATGTTGTGGAGGATGGAGACAGTTTTGTGGGTGATAGTGACGCACCATCATCGACACTCCCAGTCAACAAATGGGTGAAAAAAGTGGTAGAGAAGATGATTGCAGAGTATGCGGGAACTGAAAATTTGGAAGAACTGATATTTGGTCCTGGGTTTCCTTTAGGAGATCAAAAGCAGATCAAGATTACTGCATCAAAGCATCGCGTTTACAGTGGTGTTAAGACAGCTACAGATAAACGAAACTATGTGTGTGTCTATCAAAAGCTTTCCCCTGAGATGACACTACAAACGCTTAGATTGAATGATGGTAAATGTGGGAGATATGCCCTCATACCCAAGGAAGAACTCCCAAAATTAGAAGATCTTGAACAGGATTCTTTTGGAATACACAGCAATCTGCATCGAAGTCATTGGAAAAGTCTTCAAAAACGCAAACAAAATGAAGGTGATGAATGAGAATTTCTGCAACACCTGCTATGTGAGAAGGGAAATGAAAGACATGCCTATGAGGTTATTCTCAAAGAGGAACTGAAGAATCACAGGCCCTAACAGCACCAAATAAATAGGACTTGTTTAAGGGATTTAAATTGATCTTGAGACAAGTTGCCATCACAGACAGTTAATTTTTTCTTATCCTGACTCATGATCTTTTGCTTATCTCCCTTTCCTTTTCGAATGGCAGTGAAACACTTGAATCCCTTGAAGTTCCCGAAGCGGACGTAAAAGTACACTCACCCACGATTTACCTTCCTTTTGCCCTTTTCCCGCGCAAGCAGTCATGTGACCAGCCTTACTTGTGACCTGTCACTCTCTCCCTTTTGCCCAAGCGGATGGTTGGGCAAGCACTGGAGTCCCTTATACGGCATTATATCTTTTTTATTTAGGTCCTATTCTTCAAAATTACGCTGTATATGGATTTGGCAATAACTACTATGTATTATATGTAACATTTTTGTAAAAATTATTTATATTTCTGTCTTTATTTCATCGTTATGTAACATTGTTTACATTTCATGAAATCTTGCAGTGTTTGCAGGCACAGGTTGTCCGTGGCTGATTCTCACCCCCAGTGCCCTTTGTGCATCAAACCATGTTCTTCCAGCTTGAGCTGTACTTATTGTGTTGATTTATCAAATCTTCAATTTAATCAATATTTGTGTTATATCTATAGACGTGCCATTGATCGGGTGAGGAAGTCATCTCAATTTACGGCTGATAAAACACGAGATCAGCCTTCAAACCGTGTGATGCTTGCTACTGCTGAAGTTCATAATACTGGTGCTATGTTTAGTGCGTTGCAGGGGCAGTCTGCTGGTACGGGGGCCAAGAAGAGATCGGCCACGACGCAGTTGACTCCGACTCAGGCTAAGAAAAAGACATCATCTTCTTCTACATCGCAGAAGAAAGCATCTGTTACCAGATCGGAGGGTAAATCGACGGGTGCTAGTAAGTCAACGCAGCAGAAATCCTTCAACGAAGAGATATTACCTCCACATGAAGTAGACGTTTTTGATGACCCCCTGTTTCTTCTCCCCAAAGTACCTATGAGATCAGCGACTCAATCGACTTCCACAACTATTAGATCGTCCCCAGCAACGGTCACAGCAGGCCAGCTGTTTGACGAACTACCACCTACTTCTCAACGGAGTGAAGTTGAGGCGCAGAACTCATAAACGCTTCTTCTACATCGCACCAGCTTCAACCAACGCAGAACTTTGACCCGGGCGAATTTATGAGACAATTCACCAACCAGATGATGGCCATGATAGAACGTAGGTTCGAGGAAGAAGCGAAGGCTCGGCAAAGCCTCTCATCTACAAACCTACGGATATGCGCGAACCTACTACTCATAGAACTACGTCTCAAGACTACGTTGGCGAACGTAACGTACACCTTTGCGAAGGTCTCCACAGTTGGACTCTGTCATCTTGGAAGAGGATAGAAGAGATGACATTATATGGATCCATTTACAAAGGCGCCTGAATGGGATGATAACATAAAGTTGCTCAACAACTCCCGAAACAAGGTGTATAAAGTGGAAGATAAATAGTTATCTCAACTTGATACTGCTACAAGGAGATCCTTCTTCGGGTTGGCCAGGTCCAGAGCCATCAATGAAGCATTGATCAATAAATTCCAGAACTCAAGTTTGGAAGAGGATAGAATGATATATTCAGCCCTCATAACACAGAAGAAGGACCAATACTTTTTATTGGACCATCTGGCATCTATATCTGCAGGTCTCACTTTAGTACGCAGACAAGGGCTACTTGCATCCTGTTCATGGAGTGATAGATTCACCCAACCGCTACTGAGAACTCCATGGGAGGCGTCTACTATCCTTAAAGGAACTAGACGTTGACATCAAGGTTCGGAACGACTGGAGTCTTCCACCCCCAGCCGTTCCTGTAAATCCGTCGACAGTGGGTGGACGTCTACAAAGGTACTGGAAAAATTGGGGAATACTAGAGGACGACTACGTCTCCCAAGTACTAAGAGAAGGATACAGAGTACAACTCAAGGCCACACCTCCGCTAACCCTCAGCCCGATGGTCTTCGACTATACAGAGGAACAGGCAGACAAACGACAAGAAGCCATCGACTCACTACTTATGAAGGAGGCGGTAGAGATAATAGATCAGCATCATCCCACTCAAGGCTTCTATTCCCCAATTTTTCTAGTACCCAAGAAGAACTCCAAGGAGAAGTTCAGACTGATTTACAACCTGTGCATATTCAACAAAGACTATCTGCTGAAACCAGAGAGGTTCAGAATGATCCACCTACCTCAACTCAGACTACTCGTCCGTCCAGCAGATTACATGGCCAGCATAGACCTGCAGGATGCGTATCTACACATCCCCATACGTCTGGAATCAAGAAAGTATCTACGATTCCTATTCAGAGGGCAGCACTTCCAATGGAACGTCGTGTCGTTTGGAATATCTTCGGTTACATGGCTATTCGCACGAGTAACCAAGCCTATAGTCGCATATCTACATCATCGAGGTCTATCAATGCCTTCTACTCGGACAACGGAATTCAGGTTCACCAAGATGCCAGTCAACTCAGACTACAGCTGAACTTCACGATCAAGTTGCTCACTCAACTAGGATGGCTGGTGAACCTTATGAAGTCAGAGTTGGAACCAAAACAAGATCTGCAATTTCTGGGGATCACAACAGAGAATCGTATTGTCGTCCCAGAAGATCGCTGGGTCAAGATACAAGCCATGATTCCACCAGCAGTCATCTCTCCGTTAACACTACGATCATGGCAAGTTCTACTCGGTCTACTAACCTCAGCGCATGACTTGATTCGCACAGGAAGGTTACAACTAAGACCGCTGCAACGGTTCCTGACAAAACATCAAGACAGCGTCGACCCTATCTTGCGGCCAGACAACCTCAAGAGGTATCTACTGTGGTGGATGCACAGGTCGAACGTTTGCGGAGGGACCTATTTACAAGAGTCGGCCTTCGACACACATCTCTACGTAGACGCTTCGATGCAGGGCTGGGGTGCGCATCTCAACCATCAAGTTGCGTCAGGAAGGTGGTCCAAAATAGAGCAGCATCTTCACATCAATCTGCTTGAGATGAAAGCCGTGATCAACGCCTTACAACTATGGTCGAGCTCGCTGAACAACAGAATGCTGATGGTCCACACGGACAACTCTACAGTGGCATTCTCCATAAATCGGCAAGGATCCACAAGGTCTCCAAGCCTGCTACAGCTCACATTCCAGTTGTTCCACATCACGGAGGAAGCAAACATCTGGATAAAGGCGTGTCACATACCCGGAGCCAAGAACGTACTTGCAGACGCTCTCTCCCGACCACTGCACCCGTCACCTACGGAATGGATGCTCCATCCAGAAGCGTTCCGGCTCATCATAAGGGAAATAGGATCCCCTTGCATAGACCTGTTTGCCATGAGGTTCAACAAACAACTACAGACGTTTGTCTCACCAGTTCCAGATCCTCAAGCCTGGGCAACAGATGCACTGAGCATATCTTGGGAAGGACTTAACGCTTACGCTTTTCCCCCGATATTACTTCCGGAAGTACTGTTGAAGATCAAACAGACACAGGCGCTACAACTGACTTTGATTGCGCCATACTGGCCAGCGAGAGTATGGTTCTTAGACCTAATAGAAGATCTCGGAAGCCAAGGCAGTAACGCTAGCGTTACGCAGATCTACTCATAACCTGTATGATGACAAATGGCTGAAGTTTGAGACTTATGCAAGGCGGAAAGGCTTCACTGCGATGAAAGCTACTCATCCTCAAGTGGCGGAATATCTGTGTCATCTTAGACAGACCAGATATCTGAAAGGTTCCACATTATCTACATACCTCGCCGCCTTCAGTACAGTGATTACCATGAAAACAGGCATCAAGTTGACGAAAGTACCAGAATTACTTGCTCTGCTGAGATCTTTTAAACTGGAGGACCAGCAAAAGAAGTTCAGAGCTCCGGCCTGGGATCTAAATGTAATTTTCCGTCATCTTACAAGTGATGCCTACGAACCTCTAGACCAGACTACCCTCGAGCTGCTGACACAGAAGACTCTGTTCCTGTTTGCGCTAGCTACGGCAGCTCAATATATCAGAGATACATGCACTGGACTTTGGTCGAACCAGATTCGACACGGGGCAGCATGCTGCAGTTCATCTAGGACTTAGATGGGACTTCATTGCCAAGAACCAACTACCTGGTCAGCCAGATAGACAGTTCCACATACCAGCGCTATCTACAATCCTCAGCCCAGAGAATATGGAAGACCTATCCTTGTGTCCGGTCAGAGCCCTGAAGATATATCTTCAAAAGGCTGAGACGAGGAGACAAAAATTCAAGCGCCTGTTCATCCCATTATCAATAGAGACATCAGCAGAAGTCTCAAGAACGACCATATCGTTCTGGATGAGAGCCGTCATATTGAGAGCCTATAAAGCAGCAGGACTAGAACCTCCTAGTGCTTCAAATCCACACGAAGTCAGAGCACTGGCGTCATTACTGGCTCTGCACGGAAATTGCTCTATACCAGCAATTATGGAGGGCTGCTTTTGGAAGTCGGACACGGTGTTTGCCAACCATTACCTCCGAGACATAGCCACTGAAGACGTCTCAGGCATTCACCAATTTGGGCCTCTCGTTGTAGCACAGCAACTAACAGTTCCTCAAAGGCGCTGATTTTGAAAATCTCACCCTTTATCACGTTGACTTGTTGATAACTTTTACTAAAAGAAAAGTAGTAGTTTGAAAGTCCATGCGCACAGTCTAGCACAGGCTAGCATGAGTGATTAAAGATCCGGTACGGGTAAAGATCTTACCTGTACGTGAAGGGGTCGCAACTCATTTATGATAAAGATCTTATCATAATCTATGGGTTGTTATGAGATATCTAGTAATAAGAAGATACTAGTTTATCTGTAGCCACATGAATCAACATGATTCAACTTGTCTGAGATTGAAGTAAGACAAGAAAGTGGTCCCCCTGAGTTATAACGGAAGTTGGAAGAATAGGATCACGGAAATGCCGTTTCGCAGTTCCCATGGGGGGATACATGACGTATCTAAGAACAGCTGATGAATCCACGAAGTGTCTTGACCCACCACCAATCCGTTGGATTCTATAAGCAAAAGATCATGAGTCAGGATAAGATAAAATATGTAATTTTTCTAGTAAAATTG